ACTTGATAAATCTGAAAAAGGGTCGCCATTTTCCGAATACCATCAGAGAAAAGGGATCTGTACCGTTAATTGCAGAGGCGTTGGTAAAACACCAAAGTAACATTCAATATGCGCATATGATTACTAGTGATTTGCGCGTGCGCCTCGACCCGTTTCGCTTTTATAATTAAACTTTGACATTGTTGTTTTAAATAAAGTTTAATTTACGTTGAACTCAGTTATATTTTCGTGCATCAAGCCTAGTGTGACAATCTTATTCGCAAAATTTTTTTAGAGTTAATTTTATAATACTTTCAAGCAAGATCAATGATGTATTTGTTAAAGTAATATTATTTTTTATCACTCATATGGTGGGACAATACTTTAATTAAAACTAATAATACTTTAATTTCGACTTCAATATGAAAATCAATTTTAAGAAGCATTTTTAACTATTACACTATTGAGTATATATGTATAAATAATTATGATTAATCGATGAAAACATTTTATATAATGCAAATATTCCACTAGCTTTCAAATAAATATTGATTATTGGTTATTAAATTGATAATTATATGATTAAATTAATATTATATTTTCTTTTTAAAATTACATAAAGAATTTTTATATTATCATTTTATGATAAATAGCTTTTCAATAATATATTGAATAAGGTGATATTTTTAATCAAAATTCTATTCAGATCATTAATTTGGAATAATAATATTCCTATATGAGCTAATAATAAATGTATAAAAACGATATGTATCACATATGCAGTTATTAATATATTGAGTAGAAAAAGGGTAATTATAAATCTGTAAAAACTTCTAGAGAGGTTTTTATTTCAAATTTAATCATTTATACTTTTTCTTAGTATGTCATATATACTTAATATAATTACATTCGATTATATAATATTTCTAACAATAATAAAGTATTAACTACGAAAGTCTCATCTTATTCGAATTTTATATTAAAATATTATTATTAAACTCATTTTCATTTATGTATTGTCTGTGTTAGTATATATATATATATATATATAAATATATATATATTATTCCATCTTGTAATCTTTGACATTAAATGAAAGTGTTTACATTGTTATACTGTTGCCTGTTTTTCATTTATGATATTATTTGTCTCATTGATACTATTAATTGCTCTCTCGTCTTGTTGTTGAGTATATGTATACATGTTGTTTTAATAACAATAAAAACATTCAAAACATTCGAAACATTTTGTAACTATGAATTGATATTTAAAAGTACAATATGGCCTTAAAAACTGAACTTAAAAATTTCACTAATAGTGATATTATTTAAAAATAAATATCCTGCAAAGTTCTTTATTTATAAATGTATCCAAACACAGTAATGACGAAAGCCGTCTTATCATCAACGTTACAGCCATGTTTTCAGAGGTCCGTAGAGATTTGTGCGCAGTTTCCAATAACCATCCGCTTTGTATTTATCCGAGTGCTACTTAAGCTGTACTGTATTTATAATATTTCTGTACAGTCTCTTTACTGAGAACATTAAAAAAGCCGTTAGAAATATTTTGTTAATTGAATACTCGAATTAATTAATTAGCTATTCCAGCTTAACTTCAGGATACCTAGTTGCCATGTAAATCTTTATAACTAATCAGATCAGTGATATATTCTCTTTAATCTATCTCTAGACTATGTAAAAATATGCGAAATCAATAGAAAATCCTGAAGAACTGTCACATAAAGTTGTTCACGACTGCATGTCCATGTCCCTGAGCTCTGTTACTAATGAAATTCCATCTTAATTCATATATATCCAAGCGAAAAACTTTAAATACTGTAGAATTCAATGTTCGTACATCTTATCTCTTGAAGCGTATAATTATTCTAAGAAGTATTATCAATTAGCTGGATCTGACGCGGGAGTCACGATAACATTGCGGTGTACGTTATTTTAATTGTTTAGCGTGTCATCAGCCGAGGCTGTAATCGAATTTTCACGCATTTATATTTAATGTCAGGACAATTCCTTAATGGAATTATCATTCAAGCTGTGTTTTATATTCAATGTATCAATTAACCATTCGAATAAAGTATATTTGTTTTGATTTGCAAACTGATTATTGTATAATTTTATGATTATCAAGTCAAAACAATAATAACCCTCATGTATAATTTATTTAGAATATATTATAATTAATTTTTATATTTTTATTATTAATTTATTATTAATTAATTTTTATAACAATATAATAATTGTTCAAGACATAATATTAATAAACCCTTGATACATGCCAAAATTTAACGAAAATAATATCAATAATACTCTGAAAATTATATATATGCAGCTTCTTACACACACAGGCATATGTATATATATTTATATATAATATATAATAGTTGGACTTTATAATATTATATAAGTATTTTTCTTAATCGTATAAAAAGTAATTAATAATTCATAATTTCTTATTAATATAAAACTATCTAATTCCGTAGCGCGTATTATTTTTTTTTTTAAATTATATATATACATAAATGTAATTTATTCATACAAAATAAAATACATTAGTTTATAAAAGGAATAAATTTGAATGCTACATGTTTTTTTTATAAAACGTTTATTATTCTATTTTCTTAACTTAATCATTATTGTGTTAGAATAATTTTAAATTAAAATAGCACACGCAATGTTAATTATTGTTTAAAAATTAATAAAAATGTTAACTAAAATTTTCTGGATCAAATAAGGTAAGTGTTTAAGTAAGCCCTTAAGAGATGCAGTAAATTCTTGTGGAGAAGTGTTTGTGCATCTACGTGCTCTACGCGAAAATTTCTATTATAAGTAAATAATAATTGTTGGAATTTTAGTATTTTAATTAATTTCGAATTTATTTAAAGAACTTGAGAACAGCTTATTTTATTTTATATTATTATTTTATTCTTGATATTGCTTATAATTTATAGTAATAATATAGAAATTTGATTGTTATTTTTAATTGCGTACGAGAAATCATAATATGTAACATACAATATACAATAAATTATATTCATAACTACATTGAATAGAATAAAACTACATTAATATTTTGATAGCATATGCAAATAAATTATTTCTTTTACTATTTTATTATAGTTTCGTAAAATTAAAGTAATCAATAATAAATAAATAAATAAATATATATATATATTAAATGTATTCATTTGTATCTTAATTATTAAAGATTAACCAATACTGATATATTGACATTTCACTAGTCAGAAATTTATATGTACATTTAATTTGATGTACCGCTTCATATTAATAATAAACTAATTGAAGCAAAATCATTTGTTACAATGTTATTTATTATTTTATTAGTGCATAAATAGTATCAATTATAAAATTAAATAATGGAAAAAATAACAACGTTTATGTTCCTGGTTTAAAAAAAAGTGCAAACAATCTTTTTATTTAATGTCGGAAACAAACAGTTCATTTTTGCTCTGGCAAATAAATTTTATATTCAAAATAAAATCTTGCTATCGATTATCAGAATAAATAATAAGAAAATATGCCTGCAAAGTATTGTAAATTAAACAATAAAATCAAGTAAAATAGACGTTAAATTATTGAGTTAGAGATACTTTTCGTCTTGGCCGACCGTCTCTTTTACAACTAAGCGAGATAAATAGAATCAGCTAGTATGGAAAACTTTCATCAATATAATACATGCTGACTTTCCTAAATAAATACGCTTAATAGGGTTAGAAGACCTTCCTGTTCTTACGGTTATGCCTTGTTTGCATGAGCTAGCACACACCTACTACTATGCTTGTATATTTGTACACGACGTATCTGCTTGCTTGCTAGACATAACTATAATAATTACGCACTTACATCCTTATCTGTATTCGCATAACACATGCATTAACGATTTTGCACTTAAATCTGCGATTACATATATTTATTAATTATATTACAAATTGCAGACTTCTAAATGATACACTTAAATATAACCGTGTTTATAACTATTCGTTAACAACTTTATATATGTGGATATGCTGTTTACTCGGAAAAAGTGGATGTGAATATAAATTTTTAGTGCGCCAAAGCTAACTACTTGCCTTTGCTAATAGAAAGAAATAGATTGTTAGAGACGATCAAATGAAATCGGCCTTTGATTGATAATAGAACTCAATTTATGAATCCAATGAGAATGTATACTCCCACGCAAACGTTTCGAATTGCAAATGTTTAATGAACTCCGGAAATTATTTCATAAGATTTTATCCACGTAGTTCTCTCTCGAGTGTTCATAAACCTTCAGACACGAACTCATGTCCGTTCTCATCGAGCTCGACGTCAAGAGACGAAACGCTGCTAAAGCCTATTCGAATACCTTCTCCCTTTGTTGTAATTCTTAAATTGAGCTATAAGATTATAGATTTGTACACTCGTAAACATCTATATTTGACGGTATGCTTGCTTTGTTATAAAGCATGTAACATACATATTCATTTGTTAAATATATAAATATAAATATTTGCTTTTGTTAAATTATAAAGATAACGCTAACTTAATTTATGTTTGAGATACAAACAATTTATAAATATACCAATTTATTTTGACAGTTACAAAATAGTTAACTTTTATACTTATACTAAGTATTATAAAATTATGTTTGTCCAAGATATCTATTATCATATGAATAAAATGTATATTTATTAAGTGGTCCACTAAACAATAACACAATAAGAAGTTATAAAATCCATTGTAGCTTGAATGAAGTTAGCAACCAATTTTGTATGAAATTTTTTAAACCTTTAAATTTAGAGAACAATTTGATATAATTGTGTTTTGTTTAATTTTATATTTTCGTTCGAAAATTTATTGTGAAAACTAAAACATTTCTAGTTATTTAAATAAAAACAACCTTTTAGGATTATGCAAAAATGCATTGTATAAAATTAGATTAAATATTATTCAAAAACACAGAAAGTTTTTACTTAAAATAGTATGTATAATTTTAAATAATCATACCTCTGTTGTTCGCTTTTTGCATTTATCGCTAGCTGCAAATATATTTAATTGCGTAGATCCTGGACGCAGTGGGCATTGATCAATATCTACTCTACGCAGATCAATATCGATACCACTAGTTCCTCTAAAGAAAAGCAAATCAAATTTTATTTCTATTAGTTTCGTTCTTTACTATATATGGTATATATATATATATATATATATATATATATTAAATAAATATATATATTAATTATTACAATTTATTTAATGCATAAACGCATTTTCAAGAATACAAGCTGTATTTACTTTTATGGTATGTCGTCAGAATGTCGTTATTGTTCGGTAATGTATTGTTGTAGAACACGAAAATTAGACGTCGACGCTACGTTGATGACACACTCTTTTTTAAAAGGTCGTACCGTGATATGTTTTGAAAAGAATAAATATTTTGTATCATTTATATATATAATTGATATTATATATTTAAACAAAAAATTTATTGTATATAAAAACCGATATTTTAGAATTACAATTTTTACTTTGTTTAAATAATTTATGTTTACTATCACAATTTAAACTCATGTATATATATATATACATAAGCCTTTAATAATTTTATAGATTTACATTGAAAATAATAAATATAAATTTGAATGCATTAATATATTCGCCATTTCATGATGCTTTTTTAACATTTTTTCAAGATTTTAAAAATTGGTTTGTTTATTAATATTATCTATCGGATTTCCAAATGAAAAAATAATTTTGCAAGTATCATAATATAGTTCGCAGAATGTCACAGTACATTAACGCACTGTCATTTTACAACTATTATACAAGAATGTTATTAAATAATTAAAAATAAATTGTGACTAACATTGAAACTCTATAGAATAATGTATTTTATTAAGTGGCGGTTAATTATTCATCAAATGACTAATTTTTACTCATTAATCACTTAGAATCCGCTATAAATAAGATAATTTTTTGTATTGTTAAAAATACTATAATTAATGATATATTTAAATAACTTATTTACAATTTTTGCAAAAATTCTTTTGATATTTAAAATTAATTAGGAAAAGATGCCATGGTCAATTATTTATTTACCCTATTAACTTATCAAAGAAATCGAAACAATTCTAATTTTACCGTGGCGTTAGTTTGTTTATTAAATATTAAACAATAACTTGCAATATTGTATATTGGTTGGTATAAGATCATCATTAATACCACCATTATATTATCCGTATTTGATTTCTCACATCATGTATAACAATTTCCTAATATTCAAACAATTAAATTAATCGGATACTTAAAGTATTATATTATAATATAAATTTAATCTATTAACAAATGAAGTATTAATAAAAAAGTAAAAACTTCATAATTTCATAATTTCAACTTTTGACTTTGGTAAAATTTTATATAAATCATGCATTTCCGTTAAACTTAAAAAAATTTTTATTATAATCTATAATTTAATATTCGGTTTCTACAAGAATACAATAGTAAATATATTTTTTATATTTACTTTATGAGACCAAAAAATATATAACATTGACAAATTAAATTTTTTTATATTACTTTTACTGCATCAAATGAGAATAAAAAAATTTAAAAAAATGAAATAATAACGAATTGTCATCCTCTCAAAATTATTTTTCATCAAAGAGCTTATATAAATACGTGAACTGAAAAAAAATAACAAGCAAACGATAATCCCTGTAATTTTAGCTGACATCATGACACGGATAAGCCCACCCCTCTTTGTCAATGTCTACGTCAAATCCTAGTATCTTTAGCTCCTGAGTCCTGAAATAGTTACTGACTTTTCGCGACGACGCTGCGATTCCTTCCTTTTATTTTAATGGATTTTAATGTTGACATTTGATTTCTTCTTAAATGATTATATTATGCCTGATAACTTTTATTTACTATCTCTTATTGGTAACAAAATTGTAATTTCCATTCTTGAATAATCATTAACTTTTGTAGGCTTAAATTATATTTAATAACATAATTTTGCAATTTCATATGATCCTTCTAATTATTATTTTTAGATGCAATTATTACATTCAAAATTAAAAATGAAAGTTAATGAAATTACAGGCAATAATATATAAGTCGATTTTAAAATAAATTTTTAAGAAAAAAACAAAAAATAATTTATGATAAAATAGGGACTGATGAAATTGAAATGTTCAATTTTTCTATCAACTATCTTTTACTTAAAATAAAATCGAAAATATAAATTTTAAAAACTAATTCAATTAACAATTACAAGTACGTGTTAAATTAACTGAATTATAAACTATTTATATTTAAATAAAAAAGCAGTTAAAATTAAACAAAATTCATTATTTTGAGCTTGATTAAAATTTCTTTGCTTTCTATAACTATTACTGAAATATTAAATTATTTTTTACGATATAATACTTTCTGCATGGATTTACGCAATTATCAAATTATTTTTATGTCAATGCTTGGTATATTTATGGTTACTTTAATAGCAAACTATTTTCTTCACGGTATT